TTCGCTTGTGAAAAGTTCTGCTCAAGTCTTGGCTATTGAACAGCGAAAATCGCAGGTCTCTATCTCATTCCTATCAAAAGTTATTTAAAAAGCAACCAGCGGTCTGACCATTTGGAACGGATAGTAGTCTAAGCTATATACATTTATTAGTCAGCCGAACTAAGCATCACAGATAGTCAGGAACCGCAAAGCATTGTACTTGGCTATCTGAAGAAATGCAACATAGACAGCTGGGAATAACAACAAAAAAATAAAAAACTATCGTAATAACTGTATATATTTCTGACATTCTTAGAGCAATGAAGATAATAAGGCCAAACAAAGCAGTTGAAGAAATTTCGTTTTTGACTAGACAAACTTTGAATCCCACTAAGTACGAATTTCAATTGCAACATATACTCGTAACACCATTTTCAGTTCTCGTTTTTTTTTTTTATACGATATACGTTTTTAAGTGTTTCTAACAACGAAATGCGCTTTATTTATTCTATCGTTTTCAATTGTTTCTTTCGTTCCTTTCTTATTAAGAGAATTTTAATAAACAAATAACCGTTCGTGTTCTGGAAGAAGCCCACAGCATTCAGAGTCCGCATACATTTTCTGCAGTAAAAATGATTTATTTTTGCTCCCAACGTAGTTCTAAACTTTCGCAAATTTCTTTCTGTATTTGCTATAGTGATTATTTTAAATTTCTAAATACATATTGCACACAAGCAATAGTGCCAGGGAAAGTTCGAAGAAAACACAAGAGAAAGTTAGAACCAGAAACCTGACATCGCCACCGATAGTGACGAGGTGTCTCTAAGCCTACTGAGGAATTTACCAACTGTTCCACGTCCACTTACTCTTCGGTGAATGACCATACAGTCACTACTTTTCTCATGTGAACAATTAGTAAGCCTTTTTTCCAGTAATCTTGTAATCGATTTAAACATATATTAGTCTTTTTCACTATGAAATATATGGCTTCTTGACGACGAAATTCAAAAGAAGCTCTCAATTTAATCACAGTATCGTCAGCGAAAGAGTGACTATCAGCGTCGGAAAAACATCGTTATCAAAAATATATAAAAGAAACGAAATCGGAGACAGGCAGCTCCCTTGCGGGATGCCCCATTCTAACTCAAAATCATTGGATGTCTCCCCATTCCAAGTAACAACACCCCTCCTAGATCTCAGGCAGCTCTCTATAAACCTGAAGAGATGTTCGGGAATGTAACAATAGCAAAGTTTACAAAGTAATCCGTCCTGCCACACACGATCAACCGCACTCTACAGATCCACAAAGATGCCAAGCAAAAGGGATTCCTCCATCTGGGTAACCAGCGCCAGAACTCTAGCACTGAGACGCAGAGAGGGACGGAAACCACTTTGAACGAGTGGAAGAAGTCAAATTCACAGCAACCGTAGTCATGATTTAATACGAATTTTGCTTTGTTATTGGAAGTATAACATTTCTTTTTGTCAATAATACGGTAAAAATGCCATATTATGATTGGATTTGCTGCAAATCGAAAAACCTTGTGTTACAGAATATGGACTCAGAACAATATATTTGGTTTTGTAGTTTTCTGTAAAGCAAAGTACGTGTGATCGAACCTCTATTCGTACAAAATTGATTTCGTGATTTTCGATAGTTTTAGTTTAGAATACTATAGTGGAATTTATTTCGCTTTAATTTTGAAAGAATAAACCTTATAGCAAAAGTCTCGTGCGAATGATTATTTGCGACAAACTAAAGATAACAGATAGAACTACAGGACTAAAGGTAACACGCACAACACGAACAGAAAGGATGACAGGGGTTTTTCTGTGTCTATTGTCCTATAATTCTGCTTATCCTAAAAAGTTATTTACCTAAAAAGATCCACAAAATTGTACCCGGTTATCCTTTATCGAAAAACAAACCGAGGACAAAAATCCTATGTAAGTGCTAACCAAATCCTGTAATGTATTCTCTCAACATTTTCTCTGTTCAAAAACACGTCTTTTTTTATTATAGTCATATCTCAAGGGGATATCGGATGAAGGAGGGAAACGTTCAGAAATGCAGAATTCTTATAATTTGTAATGGGGATCAGAAAGAATCTTTATTGCGATAGGTTTGGTACGCTCCTCCGCAATCGACAGCAATCGACAGTTCTTTTCCAGTTTGAACGAAAATCAGAAGTGATACTCGGCCGCATTTTTTCCAATAAATACTTTGAAGTCATTTCAAGGACGACGTTCGAACATGACATCACTTTTTCTTTCTACGGCAATACACTCACTTGTAATTGAAAGTTAAACAAAGTGTACAGCAGAATGTACACTTAAGTGCCATTAAGAAGACAAAAGAACGCTGATGAAATTGCTGCCAATATTATAGTTTTTTCCTTCTATTGTGGACCATCATGGGTACTTTACACAAACTTCCTCGAAAGATATGCTTCCGGGCATCTGTTTTGTCAGCCGTCTCTACCTTAAATACCGCACGCTTGCTGATGCTTATATCTACTATCGACAAAGGCGCTCCAGCACGTGCATATTATCATGGCGGACTTCAACTCAGAACGACGTGTCGAGAAAGTCAAGGAGCTTTGCACACAATTCAAAGAACTCAAACCTCCTGTTTCACCTGAACATGTCAAGAAGCTCCATCGAGATGTGTTCGATGATGTCCTGAAGAAAACACAAACTGGGCGCGATGATCTGTGCGCGAAACAAGTCGTAACGGCCCTATGCGATGCTATCGACGAAGAAACACTTGAATCATCCAGTCCGGTCGGTCTCGAGAAGTGGTTCTTGCTGCGCACATGCATCGGCCATCTCTTGCGCATGTGGCACCATGGTCTCAGCATCGACGGCGACGCGGTCGACACTGTTGCGGGTGTATTTGAATTGGTGCTTGGCATCAAGGGTACCACCATCACTAATACCAACATTGACACGATCAAATCCATCCTACTTGATAAGATGTTCGTTAACGAAATCATCCTCTGCATCAAAAAAGCGTCCGAAGCAAGAGAGCCAGAAAAGTCTGCACACAAGTACAAACATGGCCAAGTAAGTTACATTTCATGAATTTGGAGATTTTCACAAAAGCTGCGTTATTATTTATGTTGTTACTATTGTACGTACTGCTTACTATTCAATGTTGTATATAAATACACTTAGGAATTGTGATAGCGATCCATTTCAAAAGGGCTACTTTCCCTCTACAAAAAGTCATCTAACGAGAACGTCGGTGATGCAGAAGTACCAGTATTCCATAACAATGGTGAGAGAGAAAACGTCGTAGAGGTGCCCCATCGATATTTTCATAGTCGAAAGTTTTCCATGCTTGATCGCAGCAGTGTGAATTTCTTTGACTAGCATTAGGGAGAATTTCACCTTACAACACTGAATTTCCATTACCAAGGTTTTTTGCGTGATTGATTTTTATTTATCTGTTAATCTAGAAACAAGTTTACGTGAATGGTTACACCAAAAGGTTTGTCAAGTAATTTCTATTTTTTAATTTCCTTTTGCAGACTTCATCCGGCTCTGATAAGATTCCAGGAGTGGTCGTTCGATTTCTTAAAGCCTACCACGTCTTATATATTGCATAACGGGAACTTCACGATGACGAAGCATTCTTCCACTTGATTAAAGCTCTTTCCAACTACTTCATCCCACCTTATCTCAACGAACTAGTCATGCAACTCACACCGCAACGAACTGAACTGAACGAATTTGAAAAAATGATTCTCGTCAACGCAGCTCGGTTCTTCTTCGATTATAAAGGCACAGCAGACAAACAACCGTTTCTTGACGTTCGCCGCAACATCGTCGTCGTCCTTGCGCTACGAACCGCACAGTACGCACCTTCTGGAGCGATTCTCCAGGCCATCAGAAACCTCAGCGACGCTTTAGTTCATTCAGTGGAAGCCTTGCCCGCTTTTCACCGCAACGATTCTGACAATTGTTACAAATTAATCGACCAGTTATGTCAGACGATTACACAAAACAACGGTGGCTTGTCCAAAAACTCCAGACGCGTGACTTATTCGGTGCAAGTACTCCTGCGGACACTGTACTACTTTACCAACCATCCTGAGTTTCTTAAGCACATCAAATCACACGACATGCGTCCACTACTCCTGAAATTGACTGACTGCGATGAAGACGAGACGATGAACTACTCGAAACAAATTCTGTCGGTCGTTTCAAGTGACGACGAGATGATCAAGGACCGTCAGGAAATGAGCTCAACAGTTGTCACCTCCATGAAGCTCAGTGTTGAAAACGAAGAAGATGCCAAGTGTCTACGGAGCAGCCTTCGAGGCATTCAGGGTAAGCTTGGCTAAACTCGCTAATAGCACAAAGGTTCAGCCCTTGCTCCATGCCGTTCGATCATTTCTAAAGAATTAATTGATTAGAATCATTCCAGTTTCGAATATGAAGCCAAATTTGGGATCATTAGATCTTCACATTTTAGAGAATATTTTTGACAACTTCTTTTGGAGATTACAGATCCGATCTTCAAAATGGTCTCATTAACTCTGATATCTGAAAGAGAAACCAGGATTTTTTCAGCGCTGAGAAAAAATACTGCATTTATATAATCAAATTCCATATATACTGATTCTCTTATCTTCCCAAGTAATTGTTGAATAGCTGTGAAATCTGAAGTAATTCTATGTTCAATATCGTGCCTCCTCGGGATTAGTACCCAGCAACCATTCGCAACAATCGATTGACTTCCTACGACCCTCAAAGCTCAGTCACTACCGATCTTTGTTAAAAGGACTGAAAACTGCTGTTCAAACGTAAGCAAAGAATGAGTCAGCACTAACTGTATGTCCTTTTTATAGTCTTGATCAACGAGGAAGAGAAGGATCGGGAATTTCTGACAGATGGCGAACAGCGTGATAATGGCGTGTTCTCCACAACTCATGCTGGGATGGACGCGCTAAGTGTGAAAGATGAACTTGTAACTCAGGAAGGTATTCCGTCACTCGTACAATGTGCCACCGAAGAAAAGTTCGTCAGGCTTAAAGCGCAAGAACCAGCTATGAAGGTCCTGCTCAAATTGTCCTTTCACAAAGACGCTCTCAAAGCTCTGAAGCAGCATCCTGAATTAGTGGATAAGTTGAAAGTTATCTCCAAGAGCGATGGAGACACACAAGGCGGTCTCGATGAAGACATACTGACTCTACTGTGGAAATTAATGCGAGATAAAGAGAACAAGCGTTTAAGGCGTCAGAAACATGACTGTGACATCATGATCAGTTACTGTCACGACAACAAAGATGTGTGCAACAAAGTCTATCACTTTCTGAAGCCAAACTATAAAGTGTGGATCGATCATCAGTGCTTGCGGAACCGCGTGCGAGACGCAATGGCAGCAGCGGTCGAAACGTCCAAAATTGTCATTATTTGTTTGTCTGACCCATACACGCAAAGTACAGCATGTCGGTCTGAAGCTGAATACGCGTTTCAGATGAGGCGCGATGTCATTCCACTTTACGTTCAACCAGGATTTCGCATCAGACAGGGGTGGCTCCATATGATGATCAACGGCCTACGATACCTCGACTACCACAAATTAGGACGTGCACACATGTTCAAGCAATTGAAGGAAGAAATTGACGGCTACAGTGATCAATACTCACCTCAAGAAAACTTACCGTCACCTCCACCTTCAAGATTAGCATCTAACTGGTTGAGAAGGACTGAAGAAATAGCGAAGAATATTTTCCCAGTTTCCTTACCTGGTCGATTGTGCTCAGTGTTCAGTAATGNCAACGGCCTACGATACCTCGACTACCACAAATTAGGACGTGCACACATGTTCAAGCAATTGAAGGAAGAAATTGACGGCTACAGTGATCAATACTCACCTCAAGAAAACTTACCGTCACCTCCACCTTCAAGATTAGCATCTAACTGGTTGAGAAGGACTGAAGAAATAGCGAAGAATATTTTCCCAGTTTCCTTACCTGGTCGATTGTGCTCAGTGTTCAGTAATGACATTTATTCAATCACTTCCGCAATCAGTTAGCTCATAGATGACGTGAAATTCAGCTTGTGAAAAGGCAAGGATTCCTTGAACATGTGGTGCTGTAGGGATGTTAGTGGTTTTAGAAGAGAGAATCGCTTCCTCTCTAGCACCAGAGCATAAAGTAAAGTTTTCACAAATTCCTTCAAGAGAACTTAAGTTTTTCGAAAGAACATGAAAAACTGAAGGTTTTTTAAAAAATGCCGTCTCCTGATAGCAACATCTGACAAGGATCGATACCATACAAATTGACTACTTTGTGCCTTTGCTATATACAGCTCACAAACCTTAGTCATCGAAAATACGTTCTGTGTGCAATTGAATGATGTTATGTATTTTTGTATTTCATAAAGGCAAAATCAAGGAGACATCAATAACGAACAACTAGCACGAGAATGCGATGATTTGCGTCAAATACTAACCGATCGTGACCAAAACATCTTGAAACTAAACACAGATCTACAAGTAGCAGAAAGCGACAAAAATCATTTAAGCAGTGAAATTGCGCAAATGGCTTCTCAGTTGGAAGAAAAAACAAACCGTATTCGTGACAAGGAGAAAGAGTTCAAGAACTATGAAGACACCTGGACAAGGGAGGCAAAGAACACGGACGATAAACACAAGAATGACAAGGCGAAGATGCAGTCATCGTTTCAGGTAGGAAAAGTATGTTCTCTTGCAGACATGTCGTAATAGCTAAGCTTTTTATTTAGCAACGTGAAACAGAACTCGTCAAAGAAAATGCAGATCTAGACAAGCGCTTGACAAATACAACGAGACTATTGGAAAATACGAGGTAGGTGGTCCAGAAAATCAAAGATAATGAATGCGCCACCGCAACATTTCCTTAGCATGTCTACATCGATTTTGTGTATGAATAAAATGAGACTGTAAATGTCTGTTTCATCGAAAATATTAAATACATAATATAACATTTGTATTTTAGGGGATGCTGGGGCCCTCTAAAAAAATTTTTGACTTTCTCGCAAAATCTTTGATGTTTTTTCACCAGCAACTTTCTGCCAAAAAGTTTCGAAAACTTCATTTCGCCAGCCACTTTCTGCAAAGCAAAACTTTTGGCACTGCCCATCCCTAAAAACAATCGTGATGCTGAGTGAGTGCCAAATAGTGCAGCTTTTGAAGGCGAGTTTCATCCCACGAAATTTGCAGGAGTTATTTCAGTTTTTGCAATTATCACTCTTTATGCTATCAGGAGAAGGCATTTTTTCAAAAATCTTCAGTTTCTCATGTTCTATCAGAAAAACTTAAGTTTCTCTTGAAGTGATTTGTGGAACTTTACTTAGTGTTCTAGTGTTAGAGAGGAAGCGATTCTCTCTTTGTGAAATCACTCATATTCCTGCAGGACCTGGGTTCCCGACATATTCGTATTTCATCGGAAGCTCCATGAATGACCCTGTCAGACGTTGAACCATTTCTCCAAAGCGTCTTTTGGTGCGAAAAATGATGCTACCCTCCAAGTATAAATTCAAAATTGATTCGATCGAGCTGATTTTTTTCTGCAGACACTATGCAGATCGAAGTGCGTGTTTTTTTACACTTTTTTCACAATTACACCGATGGAAAAAACGACGTTACTTAATGAATTAGGTAGCATGTCTTGATAGTTATGTTGTTCGTCACGTACTTAAAAAATACTGTGTGCGAACATCGGTGCTAGGAAAGTTATGCAATAACCTTGGGCAAGTTATTATGTCTCAGTGCCTCGAATCATCCGTTTGCAGCATATTCGCTACGTTGTGACGCACAATACAGCTTCTTTAATTAGTCCTCGTAGCTTTTCGAAAGGTAGTACGTGGTAAGCGAAGTGTGTATGGGGTGCTCGAGTCATATGGCAAAAGTACTCTGCGTCAGGCTGGCCTTCTGACCAGAACTGCATTCGATGACCAGTAATGAGATGGGTGATTTCAAAAGCTTGTCAACTGCAGGGAAGACATCGGGCTATTGAAACTGCCACGGTAGCACTCTACGCCGGTAACAGTAGCCGCAAGGCGGGATATTCTTCCTACTTAACGATTTTTTGTATTTTCTTTTTTCTGACAGTCGAGGAACTGAATTAGGAAAAAAGAAGAAAATCTACGATTTGAATTTCTATGGAAAAGATTTTTAGGGCGATCGGATAGTTTTAGATCAGCGGCGTAACCAGGGCTTTTAGACCAACGGGCAAACTTCTAGTGTGTCAGAAATAAACGATGGACAAAATGGGCAAGATTTTTGTTGGTGGACCAAAACATTTGTGGTCCAAAAAGAACACAAAAAAATGAAATGAGGTTGTTTTAATCAAAGATATGCATCAAACTCAAATTTTTACTATCTACAAACTCAAATACATTTACTATCTAATTCAAAAATAAACAAATAATTCTGTCTATCCACACTCTTACATATATCTTACTAAACGTGATATATTGAATGATATATTTTATATCTCCCAAGTGAAATTTAAATGGGCAAAAACTTACTAATAAAAATTACAATGGGCAAATCTCCAAATGAAATGGGCCCGCCCATTTCATTTTCTAAACAGGATTTATGTTTATTGAAAACTTCAAGTCATCTGGATCAGTCGTTCTCGCGGTAGTCTAGAAACAGATAGATGGCACAAGACAGAAGTTCTTTCAACGTTCACAGACTAAGGAAGAGTGGGCATCTGAAATATCATCTGTTATTACGCTTTTTCTTTAGAAAACTGATGCAACACTGGAAATTCCCCAAAGACATGCAATCGTGGGAACCAATCGATGTTCAAGTCTTTCTTGGTACCGCACACTTCGAGACCTTTCTTCCATATTTTGAACGGGCAGACGGTCGGTTTTTATTCAAAACGTACCAAAAGTGCTTGGACAATCGTGAGGAGAAGTTGCGAGAGTTTCAAGAAGTTGCGGATGGGAAGGGCGAACCGACCGAGACAGCCTTGAAAATGCTATTGAGTACACTCGAAGAGTACGTGCCGAAGTCCTCTTCGCCAACACCAGTGAAAAGTAGAGCTTGTACAATCATGTAATGTAGGCCGCTTAGTTGCGGAAGATTGACATGTGCTGTAAGTATGAAGGAAATATATGTTAGATGATCCGTTTTATAATGTATTTTTTTATTAATAAAGAATATTTCACAACGAAATACTATCATTAGGACTTATTCAGCTGTCGGGGACGCCTTGCGAAGGATGTTTGAGGTTTTAGGCTTGTGAAGAAATTGTACATGAATGTTAGATCGTACTCTCTTGGAGACTGGATGGTTGTTGTTCGATGTGAACTGTAACCGCTTTTACATAAGCAACCGTCTCCCACCCCTGCCAGAAACCTATCTCTGAAACTATAAGTCCCATGCTGACCAAACGTTTAGGAGATACTGAACTTGTGAAAGTATGGTGAAAAAAATTTTCCCTTGGCTCCATCGTGCATGTGAAATGTCCCCACAACAGTGACTAAAATGGGGATGTTCATAGCTCCCAGATTTCTCAGTGATAAAACGTTGTGGAGAGCTCGGGTCGGTCCTAAGTTGATGGAAACCCTAGTGGCTGGAGCCGGATTTTGATATTTTACTTTTGAAACGACCCGCCGCACAGTGGGCATCCAGGCGGAAATTAGGCAGAAAAGCAAAGTTATTTGTTTTTCAAAAATAGATAGTGTAAAATGTAGCCCTGAAGATTCTCTATCGAATGGTGTATAAATGTCTATTTTGAGATCGAGTCGTTCGAGAGAAAATTGAACTACACGAAATGTGTATGGAGTACCACCCAACGAACTACCTTTGCATGTAACCGTGATTCTTTGTTCTCTATCAGTGATATTTAACGATTGGAAAGCAGATATTCGGAATCAGGCGGTCCTAACCTATCTACTCATATCAAAATGTGTCTACTTCAATTAGAAATCGAGGAGTAGCAGCGCATCGAATCTTCCTAATGCCAGTCCTACAAAGGTCTACTTCAGTATAGTCGTTTGCCCCCCGCTGCCCCCACTTAAAAGTAACATCTAAATACACACAAATGGTCTCCAGCACCTACTCTATCTACAGTACATTCGACTTTTCTCGATGTTTTTTTAAAACCGAATTACGAGTTTTTCAAAATCCCTAAGGTTTTCTGTGTATTTCTAAGCTTTTTAACTTTTCTGCCGAAATATTTTCGGTCAAACTGAATTATACAGTTGAAAGTCTCTCCGTAGCAAATTTTGCTAGGAATTTGGATATTTAAGTAATAGTACACAAGTCTATAAACACATTTTTTATAGGTTTTCGAATATGATCTCTCCAATAGTGAGGTTTTCGAAACGTAAAAATATTTTTTATGGGTTTTCCAGAGATTCCACAGCATATGTCCGCCTGCTCTATAGAAAAATGCCCACTGTGCGCCGGACCCGAAATCTGCCACCCCTACAAGTGTCCACTTTTCTAGTATGGTTGGAGAGTCCTGACCGTAGCGCACAAGAATCTGTCATTAGATTTCCTTCAAAACATCTGGGCTCAGGAAAAATCGAGCTTTTGTGTATAATACACGAACGAGACTACTCGCAAGACCCATGTGTTGCCAAAAGCATTGTCTGATTATTAGCAATAATTTAAACCAATTTCAACCAGAAAATATTTTGTCCAAATATACACTATAAATTTATCTACTTTTATTTTAACAGAGTGTTTTTCTGTTGTCACCTTGAAGACACGAAAACCTTTTCTCACATTTCGTGCTATGTATAACCTAAAACTAATACCAGATTCGTAAACACCAAATAAAACTGCATCAGATAAGGTATCACAGACGTTTTTGGATTTTGAAGCTTTTAATAATTTATCGTTTGGAACTGTGTAGCAGCCAATAGACCTGCTGTCTGGAGATGAGAAAAGTATTGGCAGACAATGCCTGACTCTAATGTATTTCATTTCTGCCTAGTATAATCTCTTTAGATTTTTCCGCAAAAAAACCTTTTCTTGACCGTGTTTTATAAAGTACGTTTATATCAAAGAAAAAAATTATGGTTAAAGTGATTTTGAAATACATACGCCATTTAAAGTGAAAATATTGACTGGCATGACTGACATACGTTTTCTATTATACCAACGTTCGAACTGTTTTTTTTTAAATAACCCGCGAACAGATAAGAACTGCCAGCTATGAAAAGAATGTTGCAGGTTTTATGACGTGTCATGTTCTTCTTCTGATGATGGTGCATCAATTTTTTCAATTGCTTGTTGAATATGTCGTCTACCGGTTGATGGCTCAAAATCATTGTGTCTTACATATGCCAGGTACCAGACGATACTGGCAACATGAGTACAACAGTCTATAGTTCGCGCTCCAGCTTTGCACTGACAATACCATGAGTTAATTAGATCGCCTGTAAGGGAATATTTAATCCAAACATAATATCTAACTGCATTCATATACCGACTTTGTATTGCACAACGGATTATATCATTGGTTTCTCTTGACACTTGAATTGCACAGCGACCATGTGTTTCTAAATGTTCTTCCACGTATACTGCGCTCTGTTATATCTGATATGTACCGAAGAAAAGTTGTCTTAACTCATCAATATCGAGTTCTGGAAAATCAAAATCAACATTATTTATTTTCTTCCAATGTGAACGTGCACTTAATGAACCGGCCTCAGCGCTTTGTGCTAATAAATTCTTTTTTGCAAGACGATCCCTCATTAGTTGAGCAATGTTACCGTAACGATCTGTTTTAGCATCATTAACTATTGAATCACGATGTTTATTGAATGAAGCGGGAACTATGTGAACACGATCCGCAAGTTTCGGTAACAGTGAGTTTTCAACATGTTCAACAAAAAACTGCCATTTCTTGAATCGAGCAGGGTATGATTCCACAATCCAACGAACTTTAGGAACTAGTCTTGATTCATTCCCCACTATCGTTGTATGTTGTTTCTGTCCCTTACATAAATACACAGGCATTTCTGGTTCATAATCCATTTCAGCTAATGCTTCAACCACGTCCCTAAAACCCCTATCAACCACCATGATATCCCCAGCATCACACCAATCAGTTAATGCGTTTCTAGTACGTATTATATGACTAGAAATGGTTGCACCGTTATCCGTTCCATAAAACGGACCTAATGAATCTAACACATATCCATCCGGACGAACTAATGCCATAAATTTCACCAAATGTCTCTTTTTTCGACCAGAGTATGTCGAACGATTTAATGAATGCGCACTGCTTTTACCAGTGTAAACATATGTACCGTCCCAAATAATGGTAGCATTATTTTCGAAAAAATCATTTGAAAAGCTTGTATTGTGTTGTTTAGCTTCGGCTCGATTGAAAACGAAGAAAAACGAAAATCAGGCGCTGGTATACCATAGAACTAAGTGTTAGCTATATTTTAAAATCAATCCGAAGTTTGTAGCACTTGAAATGGATGAGAAATCTTGGAATTACGGGAAGTTACTTTTTGACCATAGTTTTATGAATAGCTCTTCGAAAACTCGAAAAGTTTTCTCGCTGAAATTTTTATGTTGAGGACATGTCCCACGGATGTAACCGGTATCAAAAATGCGCTGCCGATACCGATCACCGGTATACGAACTTCCTACCGGTACATACCGGTCGGTACCGCCTTGTCTTGATTATGTTTTGCTTAAAGCTTCTATTTAATTGCAATTAAGCTTAAGATGCAATTAGGTCCTAGCTTTCGATTAGTGAAGACCGCAAGCATCTACCACTTTTCTGTCAAACGTTATTCAAATAACATTCAAGTCCATTCTTTTTTTACCGACAATAGTAAGGATTATTATAGTTTTTATGCAGGTAAAACAAATCGGCAGCCAGCCAGACGTAACAGAGCATTGTGTTCCTACAAATATTTGTCTATATAGAATGAAAACACTGAAGGAAAAAAGAAAACGAAAAAGAAGTTCTTGCAGAGATTCGAGCTCTGTTAATAAAGATTAATATAGTCTTCTCCGTACGCCACTGTACCACAGGAGCACACAACTAAACAAATATGTTTTTCCTTCTGTTCCGATGAACTAGTGAATTGGACTTGAAGAAGTTTAATTAGATTAGTGTAATTAGGTTTATTCACGATGAAGAAAAGCATTTCTCACAGATAAATCCAGAGGCGGCCGCTTCCTTCATACTGAAAAGTGAAAACATTATAAAATAGATCGCATATTTACCCAAAAGGAAGCTTTTCCTAAGTACTATATCAGATCCTTGTTTACAATGACGGTCAAGAAAACACCAATGTATAATCTGTGTCAAGAAGAAAAAATGTTGGAAATTAAATTTTACATACTATTGTCTCTGAGTTCAACTCTGAGAAATGCTTCCTTCATGAAAAACTAAGTTACGGGATGCGATTTCCAACTAGCTGGAGCCAGTTGAAAATCGTGTTAGCCAATTCGTTACTAGCTGAACCGGCCACTAAAGTACACGTTACATAATGTGTACATTTATACAGAAAGCTGCAACAACGGGTATTGAGCTACCGTAGCTAGCTGCATATTCATTAGACAGCATATTGGGATTGGTCTAAATAAATATCTCATAATGAACAATATCGAGAAAACTAACATGATAGTGGAGTCAACCAGAAAGAAGATGTATGTTGAGCTACCATATGTTGGTGATGGCACAAGTGTTCTA